TCGCGGCAACAGCGCCATGTCGACATACTCATGCGCTGTGCTGCCGGGCGAAGAAGGACAGTGACAGAGCGGCGCGACCTAGTCCGCAGCCCCGACCCCCCACAGCAGCAGCCCTTCTGCGAGTGGGACCCACCCAGTCCACACTGTAGACCCATCCTTCCAGGCACGCGCGCTTAGCTTCTAGCAGAACAAAGCAGCGCCACGACACGGGCGCCAAGCGGTCTAAGAGAGTCAGGCGCAGGTCAGCAAGCGGTGGGGTGCACCAGAGGCGAACTGAGGAACGAAAACGAAAGGGAAAAGAGCACGACTCTTCTCTCAGCACTCTTGCTTGTCCCTCCTCGCTCCTCCTGCCCCACTCCCCCTTCCTCGATCATCCGTCCTCGCTCCTCCACCCCTCCTCCCCGCCCTTCCCTCCTCGCCCATCCTCGCTCCTCCTTGTCGTCCTCCTCCTCCTCCTCCTCCTCCTCCTTCTCCTCCTCGCTCCTGGCCTCTTCTCCTGGCATGTCTCCTCGCTCTTCCATCCTCCCTCTTCACGCATCCCTCACTCCACACTCCTCTCTCCTGCCCGCACGTATCCTCGCTCATCCATCCGTCATGTTGAACAAAGATTTGTCCGCGTGATCCCCAACAATGGACTGCCAAGCGCTGGGTGCTGCGTACGCGGTGTGGAGTGAACGCTCTGCAAGCTAAAGTGTGAAACTTGTGGAACAACATGTGGGATACGAGTAGTGTTTGAATCCATTTGAATCGTCAACCCCACAGCTCAACTCGTGGAAACACCCCACCCACTCACCCGCAATTTGTCGACAAAGCTCAGATGACCATGATCTCATCAAGCGCACTGGCCCGTGGAACACAATCGCAAACAATTCCGTCCTTCATGCCGCGGAATGGCGGTAGCGATGGTGACGACCGTGACGCTAACAACGATGACGATGACAGTGGTGGTGATGTTAATGCCGATGGCGATGACAGTGGAGATGGGGACGACACGATGTCGCCGACGACGAGGATGGTGATGGTTATGAAGCTGACAGTGGTGATAACGACGAAGCAGCGACGACGCTGACGATGATAACGATGGTGCTGGCAATGGCAATAACCACATGCCCGCGCGCAGAAAATTCACGACTTTGACAACACAGACGACGACGATGATGACGGCGGCGGCGATCCCGACGATGGTGATAATGATGATGATTATGATGGTGGTGCTGATGAAGGCGATGATGATGACTATGACGATGACGATGACGATAATGACGGTACTGATGATGATGATGATTCTGATGATGGTGGTGCTGATGATGATGGTGATGATGATGATGTTGACGATGGTTGCACGTAGCTTGTTGCTGATGGTGGTGATGATGATGGTGGTGGTACTGATGATGATGGTGATGATGATGACGATGGCAATGACGACGCTGGCGATGGTGAAGACGAAGTGCGCCCTCGATCTTCACACCACGCAAGGGCTCGCAGGTGGTTGAACACGCCAGTGCTGGAACAGGCAGGAAACCAGTGGTGTTGGAACGATGCCGACGTGCGCGCGCGGCGGAAGTGCGCGCGTGTGGCCCGCGTGTTATTGTTTGACAGAGTCGGTGGGCGCGCGATGGTGATGGAACCTTTTTTGTCATGCGCGCGCAGTGGCCAAAATGGTCTCGCTTGGCAGAACGGCTAACCAACAGCAGTTTCTTAAGAGCTCAGCGAGTACGCGCGCGCAGGCCTCCAGCTTGCTGGTCGTTTGAGAACCAATGGTGTTCGTCTGTCCTGCTGTCATGGCCTGGCCACGTCTTGAACTTGTTGTTCCGGGTGTTTGGCGGATGTGACGTGCGCGGGCATGTGCCCCGTAATGCATCTGGCGCAAGAAACTCGTAACAAAAGCACGTCTTGTGTCAGCACATGCGCACCGCTTTGTGTCACTGGACAGGGATCACGGGGGGGCGATACCAGGAAGACCTGGCCTGGTACGATTCCAGATGGGAAATGAACGATGGAGCAGAACCCTACGTACATTGCAACGCCACAAGCGGAAGCGGATAATCCTTGCCTCGACGGGAGGGTGGATCCTATTACCTCTTTAATCAGTCTGACCGCTTTGAAGTCGTCAACTCCACTGCTCGCCCAAGCACCCCTCACTCGCAACTTGTTGGCAAAACCCGACTGGTCGGCGACAAAGGCGATGACGATAGGCTGGTGATGTTGATGACGACGACCACGGCGACGACGACGACGACGAGGACGACGACGACGACGAGCACGACGACGGCGACGACGGCGACGACGACGGTAATGGTGTCGAAGCTGGCAGTAATGATAGCAACAAAGTAATGATGAGGCTGGCGATGATGAAGATGGTGCCCGCGGGCCAAAATTCGACGAGGGCGACGACATCGACGATAACGACGATGACGGCGGCGGTGACGACCCCGACGATGGTGATGATAATGACGATGATGCTGACGATGATGACGCTGACGAGGATGATAACGAGTGTGCTGGCCTGTTCGAGAACCGAGCTCCTTCTAAGAGCTTGACACAGTCAACTCCGATGCTCGAGCAAACATTACACCAACGCATCCGCAAGTGTCTGGTAATACTCAAGAGGCCGTATGTTGAAATACATGTCGGAACGTGTTAGTAAATCCGAACAGTCGCAATGACGCGTGAACCCTGACGAGTAATGATGATGTCTGGGGAAGTGCCGTATACATGACACTGAGAGCAGGTTGGTTTATATGCGTGCTGGAGACCTCCATCATGAAACGCTCCAACACCAGCTAATTACGGACAATTTCGGTGTGTGCACGGGGGCGCCCGCGTGGCCCACATGGTGAGGCGGCCTAATAGTCATTCACTGTCCCTGGGTGCGTGGCTGAAGTGGGGTTCCGGGTTGTTGTTGCGGTGTTGCGTTGCTGTTGCTGTTGTTGTTGCTGTTGTTGTTGTTGCTGCTGTTGTTGTTGTTGTTGTTGGTGTTGTTGTTGTTGTTGTTGTTGTTGGTGTTGTTGTTGTTGTTGTTGTTGTTGTTCTTGCGTTGTTGCGTTGTTGTTGTCGTCGTCCTCGCCCGCGATCTGCCCGCGACCCACCCGGCGACCCACCCCGCGACCCACCCCGCGACCAACCCGCGACCCTCCCGCGACCCACCCGCGACCCACCCACATTGCTTTGACGAAAATGCGGCGCCTGCGGCGGGCGTATTGCGCAACGTGTTGGAAAATCAGCGCCTGCGGCGGGCTTCTCCAGAGCCTCGCAGACTGCCGACGACCCCGCCGCCCCCCCACTCCTGTGCAAAGCTGCGGGGGGGCCACGTATCGTCTTACAGGGTTGAAAGGGGGAGCTGTACAACCCATTCCCCACGCAGTGCTTGCACCCAGAACTTCGCCTTCGTATTCTCAAGGGCTCTGAGTTTGGGCGCCCGAGTTATCCGGGGTAACTCGGGTCCGGGGTAACTCGGGTTCGGATTCCCGAAAAAGGAACCCGAGTTATCCCTGACCCGAGTTACCCCTGGTGATTCGGGGCCCTGGACGCCCGAGTTATCCGGGGTAACTCGGGTCCGGGGTAAGTCGGGTTCGGATTCCCGAAAAAGGAACCCGAGTTATCCCTGACCCGAGTTACCCCTGATGATTCGGGGCTCAGAGAGTGGGCGTGCCGGCCCTTCGCTTTTGCCCATGTCGTGGGCACCCCGTGCTGGGCCGGTGCCCCGACGTTCCGCCCGGCGCCCGCCCGTGGGCCCTCCCGGGCGCGCCGCGTGCGCTGGGCGGGCGTGCCGGAGCGCCGCCGGGTGCCTGCCCGTGGGTGCCTCGTGTTGGAAACTGGGCGAGGGCTGGCAAATCCGTGGCTGCTCAATCGGGGATGGACAGACCGCCCTTCAGTGAAACGTGGTTTCGTGAAAACGGCCTGAGGCCCACACCTGGCGGGCGCAGGCCTGGAAAAGAACGGCCACGGCGCCCTCTCGAGATCCGAAAAGGGACAATTCACCAATCGACGTGTCACTGCTGGGGGTTCTGTCCACCCCCGACTCGAGCGGTCTCCACGGAAGAGAAAAAGAGCAAATCCCAGGAACAAAACCCAGCGCACATAATGGGGAACGGGCTGCTTCCCGGAAAAAAAACGAGAAAATCCCAGACGTCCGTTTTGGCAGCCACGGGGTTGCCAACCGTCGCCCGCCTTCTCATCGTGGGCGCGCCGCGTGCGCCGGTGGGGTGTGCCAAGGTTTCGCCCGGTGCGCGCCGTGGGCGCCTCGTACGGCGGGCGGGCGCATACACTGCACGAGCTACACAGCTTTTGCACCGCAGATTGCACCGCACGGCACACACCACACAGCCCCACACGGAGCTTGCACCGCACGGCTTGCACCGTGCAGTTTGCTACACGTAGCGTGCACCACGGACATTGCAACACACAGCGTGCACCGCGTAGATTAGACCACATAAAGTTTATCACATATCATACGCCAAAACGCTTGCACAGAATAGCTTATACATACGCAGGGTTATAGCATACTGTTCGGAACCCACGCTGGCGAACATACTGTTTGGGGCCCACGCTGGGTCTTCAATGATTTCGATGTGCATGCGCGGAGGCGCGCGCGTGCGACACGTGTTGTTTTCTCACAGGGATGCCATGACACCTATGGCGTTCTGTTGGTTTTAGCAAGAGCGCGCGCAGAACATCTAACACATCGTCTGTTGGAAAATTGGTGTGCCTACTTTCTCTAGCTAGGCTTTACCTTTTATTGTCTCAAATGAGTCTGGCCCTAAAGGGTTCTGTAAAACATAGGGTGGGAGGGCGGCGCTTGTCGGAGACAGCGCTCGGCGGCGCTCGGTTCCTTGGTCTTGGGATCCTCTACGCGTTACTCAGGCTCCTCAGGGTTCCTTGATTGGGCTTGGGCTCCTCGGGGCTACTCGGGTTCCTTGCTTGGGTTCCTCGGGGTTCCTAGCTTGGGGCCTTGCGTGTTCCTCGGGTTCCTCGCTTGTGCTCCCAAGCCATGCCAAACAAAACGTAGGAATGCCGAGCAACGTCGAGCAAAGCAAAATAATGTCAAGCAAAGCCGAGCAATACCAATTAATACCGAGCAGCGCCAAGCAATGCAAAGCAATGTTAAGCAACTCCAAGCAACGCAAAGTAATGCCAAGCAGCGCCAAGCAACGCCAAGAAATGCCAAGCAATGCCGCATTGTGGTGCACTGCTGTGAGCTGGTTTACACTGCTCTGGAAGAAGGGAAGACCGCCAGTTTAGGTCGCCTCGGGCGTATGGCTAAAATAGCTCTCTCTGTGATGGCATGCAGAAAGTTCCGGCATGAGTTCGACGCGCACGCGCCGGGAGCGAGCGCGTACGGCCCGCATGGCACTATCTGGAACGGTCCCGTACAACGCGAGCCTGTTAGATCCACGCGTGCGCACCGCCTGGTGATGTCTGACAGGGATGACTGGGGGCGTCGGTACCCGCCTTGCTGTGATGGCACGATCCCATGTGTAGGATGAGCGATCGTGCAGAACGGATACGAAAAACGAGACCCTGAGGGGGACCGCGAACTCCGACCATGCCATGGGGGTCAACTCGAATTCAACCCCGACCATGCCGTGGGGGTAGACTCGAATTCCCGAGACAGGGTTTGCACTGAGGATCTGCTTGCCTGTGTCTTCAGGACTTGTAGGGTTCGCACGGGGGTTCTCCTGTTGGACGCCCGTGGGCGTCTCGTGGGCACTTCGTCGCCGCCCACATAGCTCAAATCACATCGCTTGAATCACATAGCTTACACCTCACTGCATACACCACCCAGCTTGCACAGCACAGCCTGCACCACATAGCCTGCACCACAGAGCATACACCACACAGCTTGCACCGCATAGGTTACGCTGCACAGCGTTAATCAACACATAGCTCACACCGCAGAGCGTACACCACACATGCTGCACCGCAGGACTTGCACAGCCAGAGTGCAGTCACTCACTGTTTGGGGTCCACGGTGGCCACCATTCTCCGATTACTCCAGCTCATTTCGGGGGGGGTCTTTTCCAAGCTATCTTGGAGGGCCTGGGGGGGTCTGGGGACGATGTTTTGGAGGGGTCTGAAATGGCTTGTCTTGGAGGGTCCAGACCCCCTCCCTTTTATTACGAAATCTGGAGTAGCCTTTGCATCAGGGGTTCTTGCTTGCTCGTGGGAGAAGCTCGTGGTTTCGGCGTCGTCCGTGTGAGACGGCGCTCGGCGCTGCTCGGTGTCCTTCGGTGAGCGACAAGCAGCGCTCGGCGGTGCTCGGGCTCCTGGGTCTTGGCTCCTGGCGGTCACTCTCGGGTTCTTGGCTCTGGGGTCTCGCTGCCTTCCTCGGCGAAGCAACGCCCAGCAATACCAGTGAACGCCGAGCGCTGCCGAACAAGGCCAATCAACGCCGAGCAATGCCAATCAATGCCCAGCAACGCAAGGCAATGCCAAGGAACGCCGAGCAAGGCCAAGCGACGTCAAACAATGCCAAGCAACGTGGAGCAATACCAAGCAATGCCAAAAAATGTCCCGCCGTGCACAGCAATGTCAAGCAACGAGACAAAGCAACAACTCCAAGGAACGCAAAGCAACGTCAAACAATACAAAGCAATACCGATCAATGGCAAACACTGCCAAGCAAATCATGGTTTGGCACTCATCTGGCTTACTTCGAATTGCCTTGCAAGAAAGACGACCCCCAATTTGGCTCGCGCTGGACCCATTCTTGGTTGGCAGACCAAACACACGTGGTGCAACCTGCCTGCTGCAAGGTCTGACCCGCAAGCCATGGGGTGCAATATGCGTGGTGCGACCCATGGGGGTGCAACTTGTAATGGAGGATGACTATAAATAAATGACCGGGGGTCGTGTTCACGCGGCGGCGCCCGGGATGACGATTAGAAAAACCGGCCGCGGGCTGGAAAACTATTTCTTTAATCGTTCTCCTCCAGTCCGGAAATTCTGCAGAAATAGCAGAACACTATGTTTTTAATCGTTCTCTCTCATTTTTTCTATGAATCGTCATCCCGCATGACGTGGATCCGGAAACGCGGGCCAGCTCACGAGGCGGACGCGAGGCGGCCCTGGGCGCCACGCCGCTCGAAGGCCGCACCTCGCAGCGCCCGGCGGCGCACGAGGCGGCCACGAAGCGCCCACGACGAGCGCACGCCGGGCGAGCACCCGGCAGGCGCCCGCACGAGGCGCCGCCCATCGGGCGACCACGACGGAGCCCCGCAAGGTCGCCGGCCAGCGCACGCGGCGCCGACGTCGGGTCGGGCGAAAGGGGGGATAGTAAAACGACGCGAAGATCGGGACAAAATCGGATCGGGATAACTCGAAGTCTCTGAGAATCGGCGGGCTTGGAGGATGTATTGGGCGCCGCGGCCTCTCCAGAGCGTTCCGGAACGCTCTGAGAGCGCTCCGGAACGCTCTGGAGCGATTTGTCCCGACCCTAGCCCTGTTTAAGGATAGCACAGGGGGGGGTTGAGAATCAGCTCACGCAGCTGATTCTCCCGGCGCCTCCCGGCGCCGGAGAGGCGCCCACGTATCGAGGAAGGGGCTCCTCGGCGGGGCCGAAGCCAGCTGCACGCAGCAAATGTCGTAACCCCGCCTTCTCCAATCCCCCCTTGCGCCCGGCCCGACAACGGCCGCCCACCAGCCAGGAGCACGGCACGCGACGGCGGGCAACAACGGACCTTCCACGTCGCAGCGCGGCAGAGTCGGTCCGCACGCGCGCTCAGCGGGCCGGGTGGCGGCGATGCGATGTGTCCCGGCCAGGAGCTGAGCAAGCACAGCCTTAGCCCTCAGCGCAAGCAAGGGAGACGCAAGCTTGAAGCTGCGCGGGGCGAGAAGGAAGGGGCGGAGCGAGGGAGAAAGGGGAGGGAGTCCACGACTGGGAACGTGGGTGGAGGTAAGCATACGGAATGTGGATGGGAGGCCAAGGAGGAGAAGGGGGAAGGAGGGAAGGACCTGGAGAGGGGGAGGGCGAGGGAGCGAGGGAAAGGAACAGAAGAGCGAGCGTGGAGGGGGGAGCAACGCGGGCAGGGGGCGTGCTCCCTGCCACCGGCGAGGGGCCCTCGCGGGCCGCAGGGGGTCCTCCTGGGAGCTCCTTGCGCGCAGGGGGGCACTGGGACGCAGAAGGACATACTCCTGCCGTGCGTCCTCCTTGGAGGCGCGCGTCCTCCTCGGAGGCGCGCGCCCGACCCGAACATCTGAGCAGACCCATCCTGCAGTCTGTCGTGCCCAGGGGCGGTGTGGCCAGAGGGCTCCCGCCTCAGAGAGCTCGCGCTGCGGGACTTCTCGCCGCGCGCGTCGCCCCCCGGGGGGCGGCGACGCACACACAGCAGCAGCAGCAGCAGTGGCACGTCGGGGCGACGCCGAGCCACGGCCCCCGAGGGAGCCGGGCCCTGGGCCCCGGGGCCTTCCCCCAGAGGACGAGCTCTCTTGACCCCCAGCCCTTCCCTGACCGCCCCCCCGGGCCCCTGGTAGGGGGCCACAGGCGAAGCCTACCCCTACCCCCTCCACGATCTCCGAAGGTTAGGGTGGGGTTCACTCCGTTCGGGAGCTCCCGAGCGAAGTGAACCCCACCCTCCCCCTCAGAAGTCGTGGGGGGTAGGGGTGGGGATCGCATGTGGCCCCCTACCTGGAGGGCCCCAAGAGCTCGAAGACTGCGGACACCCGAGGGCCCGCTGTCCTCGGGACCCGCGCTCCCCATGGCGACCCTCGTTTGGACGCCCGAAATGGGTACGGAAAGAATGGGTACAATGCCCAACAGCAAATGTTGTCCCAAACCAACAGCGGCCGCCGTTGGGCAGACGGCCTCCTGTCTCGAATGGACAGAGGCCGCGACGGCGCGGAACAAACAGGAACTGCTGTTCAGCCTTGTACCCATTCTTTCCGTACCCATGTCGGTCGTCCCGACCTCGGCCATGGATCCACTCGATTCCCTAGGCGTTCCCTAGGGATCTGCCAGGGATACACTCGGTTCCCTAGGCGTTCCCTAGGCGTTCCCTAGGCGTTCCCTAGGGATCTGCCAGGGATCGATTCGGTTCCCTAGGCGTTCCCTAGGCGTTCCCTAGGCGTCCCCTAGGGATCTGCCAGGGATCGATTCGGTTCCCTAGGCGTTCCCTGGGCGTTCCCTAGGCGTCCCCTAGGGATCTGCCAGGGATCGATTCGGTTCCCTAGGCGTTCCCTGGGTGTTCCCTAGGCGTTCCCTAGGGATCTGCCAGGGATCGATTCGGTTCGGAGCCCTCTTGCGGCCCGGCTCCTTCGGGGCCCTCGCGGGGGCCTCTCTCCGGGCTCGCACACCCCTCGCGGGCGGGGGGCGGCGCCGACGTGCCCCCGGCGGCCTGCGCTCTGCGAGGCCGCTCCTCGTGGTCAGCCAGGGGTGCGCGAGGGCACTGGTGGCCGTCATGCGCTCCTGCGGGACAGGGGAGCAAAAGAGGAGGAGGAGGAGGAGGAGGAGGAGGAGGAGGAGGAGGAGGAGGAGGAGGGGGAGAAGGAGGAGGAGGGGGGAGGAGGAGGAGGAGGGGGAGGAGGAGGAGGGGGAGGAGGAGGAGGAGGAGGAGGAGAAGGAGGAGGAGGAGGAGGAGGAGGAGGAAAAAGGGAGGGAGGAGGATCACGACGAAGTCCGGACCAAAGCCGGGCGAAGAGAAGCCGAGAATCTCTGAGATCCGGCGGCTCTGAAGGAGGTCTCGAATTCCGCGGCCTTCTCAGAGCGTTCCAGAACGCTCCGAGAGCGTTCCGGAACGCTCTGGAACGGATCTGTCCTTGTCCTAGCCCCGCCCAAAGGAGGGGGGGACGGAGGGAGGAAGGGAGGAAGAGAGGGGGAGAGGGAGGGAGGGAGGGAGGGAGGGAAGGGGGAAGGGGCAAAGGGGAAAGGGGAAGGAGGAGGAGGAGGAGGAGGAGGAGGAGGAGGAGAAGGAGGAGGAGGAGGGTTGAGGGTCGAGGGTTGAGTGTTGAGGTGGGCACGTGCGTGTCGGACTTGCTGTTGGGACGCCATCCTTCTGGGCCGCGTTCACACGCCGGCGTGGACGAGCAAGAGCCCCGTTTGGCCTAGAGCAGCCACGCCAAGGGCACCAGACGCCACCGCATCGCGGTCCGTCCTCCCTCCAGGGGGGAGAGGGGGGGAGGCGAGAGGAAAGGACGGGGGGGGAAGAAGGAGGGGGGCACGGAGAGGAGGGCGGGGGAGGGAAGGGGGGGGGGAGAGAGGAGAGGAGGAGGAGGAGGAGGAGGAGGGAGGAGGAGGAGGAGGAGGAGGAGGGAGGAGGAGGAGGAGCAGGAGGAGGAGGAGGAGGAGGAGGAGGAGGGGTGGGGGGGAGAGGGGAGGAGGGGCAGGAGGGGAGAGGAGAAAGGAGGGAGGGTGGGGAGGGGAGGGGGGAGGCAGGAGAGAGAGGGGGGGGGGGCGAAGACGGCAGGAGGCATGCCTGGGTTGTCGGCCACGTTCGCCTGCAGAGCGCAAGCACGGTCGGGGCTTCCAGACCGAAGCCTGGCGGGGCGCCTGCCTCCCGTCAGCGGGGACAGGGCACAGCCACCAGAGCTGCGCGGCGAAAGCTCACGCCGCTCGGCAGTGAGCCCTGTTGGGGGGCCACGTGCGATCCCCACCCCTACCCCCCACGATTTCTGAGGGGGAGGGTGGGGTTCACTTCGCTCAGGAGCTCCCGAACGAAGTGAACCCACCCTCCCCCTCAGAAATCGTGGGGGGTAGGGGTGGGGATCGCACGTGGCCCCCTACCTGTCGGTCACCCCGAATCCACACCGACTCACCCCACGATTTGCTCACTGCACGGCCTGTGGGCCCCCGAGATCAACGGGAGGCCTTCCAAATGGAGCCGGAGCAGATGGGGTCGGAGGATCGCGCCGCATCGCCGATGCATCGGCGAGGTATCGGCGACTGCGGGATAGACAAGAGCGGGCTCCAGATCGCACCGCATCTCCAATGTATCGGCGATGCGGCGCGATCCTTCGACCCCACCTACTCAGGATGCCTGGAGCAACGTTCATCGACAGAAAGGCATACAATAAGTTACTCTCGGGGAAGGGGGGAACGCATCAGCAAAACGTAGGCATGGTGCGCTTGCTGGGGCAACCAAGGCTGAGCAGCACTGACAGTCGCTGTGCCGCAGAAGGAGGCGCTGAATTCGAGAGAGGGAGGCCGCTGCTAGTCACACGCGTGGGAAGCAGCAGGCAGAGTGAGCAGGATCGGCTCAGGAAGGGGCCGAAAAGCTCTGGCAGAACCGCGAGCAGAGGCAGACGGGGTGCGCAGGGGAGCTGGACGCAACGGCGTTGCACCAGAAGCCCGCGCAGCCGACAGGTGGCTGCCAGGGAGCTGTCTCTGCGGCGGCCGCAGATCCACAGACCATGGGCTGTGAAGCCGGTGGTGGACCAAATGCCCTCGCACCCTGTGCGGCAGAAGCCACGACGGCGGACGGGCTGGACCCATTGGGGCGCAAGGCGCGGCAAATTTCAAAGGGAAGCAAGTGACCAGTAGCCCAGGACCGGGACGCGGAGACAGCGAGGCCAAAGGTGCGGAGGAGAGGTTCATACTAGGAGGAAGCAAGCTGACAGACTGATGACTCCCAGGCTACGCGACACAGCCACGGGAGAACGGGCAGAGGCGCTGTGCGCTGGCACTGCGTGCCTCAGGCGGGGCCTACCACAGCGAGGTGCGGTGCGGTAAGGACCACGATCACAAAAGACCAAAGTGGCGAAAATGAGAGGAAGAGGGAAGGGAGAGGAAGCAGAAGGGTGGGGAGAGGAAAGGGGGAGTGGCAAGCTAGGTGCGCTCGCGCCTCATCTGACATCCTACCCCTCCCTCCCATCACGTCCCATTGCGTTGATGTGTGATCTAGCCGCGGACGCGTGTCATAGCCGACCTGCCATTCCAGCCAAAAGACCACATCGTACTGTGCGCAATCGGGAAGAGGGGAGCTGCGTGCACAGGAGGAGGTGGCGGGTGAGCAGGAGGATGGGCGCGAGGAAAAGGACGAGGACGAAAAGAAGCAGCAAGAACTGGAGTGAAAGGAGAGGAAGTAACAGGAGGACTAGGGAAAGACGGAGGAGATGAAATTAGGGGGGTAACAACAATGAAGAAAGACTCGGATCCAGGAAAATTGCCCGCGTTGGGACGACAGCGCCGTTCTTACAGACGGGAGCAAAGCACCGATCCGAAAACGGTGCCCACGCTGCAACGGGAGGACCAGTTGGAGGCACCGAAACAATCAGATTGTACAAACCATGAGAAGCATCATGTGTTCAAATCGTGTGTAAAGAACAGCACGTGGAGAGGGCCCACCATCTTCCGAACAGAGTAGGGGGACATACTCGTATTCATATTGGTTAGTTGTGGGGCGAACAAGGGTTGCCCCACGCTTCGCCTCATCACTTCGCAAATGAAATGCATGTTCAAACGTTAACGCAACACAGAAAAAACATGCACGCACGCACACACACACACACACGACAAACAACACAGGTTAAACACATGTGCCAAACATGTAACACGTTCACTTAGGCTTGAAGGGTTAACCCAACTTGTTAGCTGAATATTGACAAAAAGGCGATGTGGTGTGGCGAGGCAGCCCCTTTATACAAAATACACCGTGGAACAACATACGCATGATATGACATGTACGATCACCCTACGGGTGATAAGAAGGTTTGGGCGGAACGGAAGCAGCTGTTTCATTGCGGTCGGCGTTGGGTCAAATCCGTGATCTGCGTATGTATGTTAGGCTGTCGATTCCTGCCTTCGGGTACCCCTATCTAGCGACTCACTGTCTATCCATCGATCACACTGCTATTAGATATCTATATCTATATATACACACACGGGTCCTGGCGCATTGCCCCCTCACTGAAATAAAGCCTGGGAGGGTCACAGGCCCCGAGACCAGCGGGGAGGAGGGGAGTGCGGCACGGGGGGCGGGTAGCAATCCCCCCTTCGCACCCCCTCTGGACCACTCAAGGGGAGCGAAGTGCGGAGGTGGCCAGCACGGGCTCACGGCTCCGACCTCTCCCATTCAACCCCCACCCCCCCGCGTTTGTTGTTTCCCCCAAGGCGCGCCAATCCAGAGCGCAGGTGGGCGGCAGGCCAATCCAAGGTGCAAGTGGGCGATGGTCTACGACTTCGCCAAACCACAGCGCAGGTGGGCGGCCAGCAAGGCGAGGGCAATCAAGGAAGCGGGCACGCGATGACTTCTGCGTTCCCCTTCCAGGAGATGTCGCCGCGCAGGCATCGCCCGCCAAGCGCGCTGCACTGGTTCGGCCGTTGGCGACGGCCAAAAAATGCGGTCCTGATGTGTGGCGCGCTGGCTCAGCAAAGCTTACCCGGGCTGAGCAGGGCCGAGCTGGGCTTAACAAGGCTCAGCGGTGCTTGCAAGACGTCGCCAAAGAGTAGCAATGCTTAGCAGAGCTTAGCATGATCTAGCATATACGAGGGCTCAGCAAGGCATTGCAGGGCTTAGCACGGTTTGCCAAGCTTACCTGAGCGCAGCAAGCCTCACCGCAACGACCTGAGTTTCACAAGGCTTTTCAAGCATGACATAGTTTAGCAGAGCCCCCAGGGCTGAGCAAAGCTTACCAGAGCTGGGTAGGGCTCAGCAGGGCGTGCCAGGATTTGGCAGGGCTTAGCAGAGCTTGCAAGGGCCTGCAGTGCTTAGCAGGCCCAAGAAAGGCCGACCAAGGTCTACAAGGCCTTAGCGCGGCTTACCGAGGTTTAGCCAGGTTTGCCAGGTCTGAACAGGGCTTGGCATGGCCCAGCAAGGCCCAGCAGGGCCAATGTCATCGCAAGGGCTAGCAAGGCTTAGCAGAGCTTAGCAATGCCTAGCCAGGTTTAGCAAGGCTTACCAGACTTGTTAAACTTAGCTGGGCGTCGCAGGGCTTACCAAACTTACCAGAGCTTACCAGGGCATAGCAAAACGCACCAGAGTTGAACAGGGCGCAGAAGAGCGCACCAGGACGTAACACGGCTTAGCAGAGCTCGCCAAGGTTTCGCACTGCTTGGCAGGACCAGTGGGGTTTAGCAGGAATAAACAAGGCCTGAGCAGGGGTTGCCAGGGCTTAGCAAGGCTTGCTATCTCTTAGCAGGACTTACGCAGGCTTCGCTGGGCTCAAGAAAGTTCAGCAGGACTTCTTGTGTCTCAAAGATCCGCAAGGCCTAACAAAGCTTGCAAAGGCCAAACAAGGTTCATCAAATTAAAGCTGAGCTGGGCTTGAAGGTTCGCAAGGAATACAAAGGCCATCTCCCCCTTTTTCCTGATCTGCTCACCCCATACGAAGGATCTCCTACCAAGGACGCCTGGTTATGATGCGGAGCCGACCCTTGCTTGCCAAGGCTTAACAAGGCTTAAGAGGGCTGAGCAACATTTACCAAGGGCTTACCAGGACTTGCCAAAGGTTGCCATGGCCCAGCAAAGCCGA